TTAAACGAAATTTAGAAACAAATTTCTTCATGGATTTATAAAACCCTTCAATATCTACTAACATGATTAAAGTTAATTAAGTATGCTAACTATAGCCTGAATATACAGAACACTTTTATTGTATTATTTTAAGGAACTCAAAGTGGTGCGCCTAAGTAACCTTACAACATCCTCAAAAGTTAGGTTAAAAAAATATTACAATTCCCAATAGCAAGAATTTATAGGAAGAAGATCCTCAGAACTCAACATATATTGGCAGAGCTCAAATTACCCTGAACAGAACATTTAGAAATTCGGTTAGAACAACGTGATGTGTACACACACTGATAATAATGCAGGTAGTCTATGAATATTGTGAAAACCGTGGAGACATATAAACTTGTATTTGGAAAGCAGCACTTTGTATGAAAGGGTTTCAAACACAAATTAGGTATGAAACTTGCCCTCAAGAAATTCAGTTTCATGGGGCAAAATATACAGATGTAAACGTGTGTGTGGGGAGCAGAGAGGCGGCACTTCTGCTGGACCCTGAGGGTAAAAAGGACAGGGACAGGCAGGACTAAGGAGACAGGGCAGGGAGAACCTTGAGAGAAATGTCAAAGAGGCAGGCAGCGTGTGTAGGTTGAGGGAACATTTAAATTCCAATGAAGTTGAGGAAATATATGAAAGAAAATAAAGTTGGAAAGGTAGATTGGGGCCAGCACTAGAGGGCTATGACAGCTAAGCTTAACTAATCAGTAAAGGCCATTGAAAGAAGAGCATGTAATGTAATCCACTAAAATGTGGCCATGGCTTGCTTCCTGATAAAAAAAAAATGGGTATATCAACTTCTGACACATCAAGTGTCACTTCGTTAATTTCATTAACGCATTAAACACATTTCAGTCGCCTCACTTATTTGCGCAAATGAAAATCTATAATAATAAAAGCATAATATTCTAATTAGACTGGACGTCCTTCCGGACGACCCTCCTGAAGAAGCCGGGGCTGTGAGGGAAGCCTGGGTCCCAGGTGCCTGCCAGCGGCCAGAGGGGAGCCCGGGTTCTGGGTGCGTGCTGGCGGTTGGAGGGGAGCCAGGGTCAAGGGTGCCAGAGGGAAGCCGGTGCTGTCAGCTGAGGGAGGGAGGGCCTACTTTGCTTCCAACAAAATTGAAGATGAACCTAATCAAATTACCAGCTGATAAATAAAAATAACTTTTATGATAGAGTTCAAATAATTGAGTGATAAAACTGAAACAAAAATCTATTACCCTCCAATTAATTATGTCAACTTTTTTCTCAGCACTTATATCTCTAAATGGAAAAAGGGAAATAAAATGATGCTGAACATTGTCTTATTGCAGCAATGTGTACTATTTATCCATAAAAGGTTAACTAAAAATAAAGATTAGCTTCACCCATGTCATCAAAAGACACATTTCCAATAACTTCATTTTCTTCTGTTTCATAATTACTTAACATTTTAATACATTTATGTTGTTTTATTAACTACATGCTAATTATAATTGAATGACTAGGAGATATTTTTTAAATTCAATCTACATACCTATTTTTAGTGAAGAGCCATGGCAGGATGATCAATACACATAAAGGCTTTAATGCATAAAATATATTACTTTCATAGTACACTACATGCAAAATATAATTCCTACATAAAAATACATTACATAAGGATAAAATATGGTGAGGAAAAGTGTAACATAAATACAAATTTAAACAGAAAAAATATAAAATTTTAAATGTTAAAGAAGAGTTTTATTTAGCACAGTGCAATATACAGATATTATATCATAGAAATCTACACTTGAAACCTATATGATCCTATTAACCAATGTCACCCCAATAATTTAAGCAAGGTTTTGTTTAACTTTAAAAAAAAAAAAAAAAGCTTATTATGTATTTTTGGAAATGGATGGGTGTTTTTTGCT